TCCACTCGGTTAGAAATTGGTCTGATCTACCAGGGGATCTACTTATGAAACTCTATTAAGATAGCAAAACAGATCATCCACACTCATGGTCACTCCATCTCAGATTAGCACATACTGGAGAGAAGGAACATGAGAAGGTTGTCATATCCTGCTGGTGGGCTTCATATCTTGTTTATGGGTTTCCCAGAAGTGACCAGTTGAGTAGAACTCTGAATAATTCTGCTTTGGTCAGACCTCACCTGGAATCCTGTGTCCAGTTCTGGGCTCCACACTTCAAGAAGGATGCTGACAAGCTGGAGTGTGTCCAGAAGAAGACAACCAAAATGGTGAAAGCTCTAGAAAACACCAAGCTCTATGAGGAACGGCTTAGGAAGCTGAGTATGTTTAGCCTAGGGAAGAGAAGGTTAATGGGTGACAAGACAGCCATGTTTAAATATTTGAAGGGGTATCATATGGAAGACGAAGCAAGCTTCTTTTCTGCTGCTCCAGAGACTAGGAGACAGAGCAATGGATTCAAGCTACAGGAAAAGAGATCCCACCTCAACATTAGGAAGAACTTCTTGGCGGTGAGAACCTTCTGAGATTGGAAGACGCTGCCTTGAAAAGTGGTGGAGTCTCCTTCTTGGGAAGTTTTTAAACAGAGGCTGGATGGCCATTTGTCACAGAGAGTGCTTTGATGCTTTATTCCTGCATGGCAGAATGGGGTCGGACTGGATGGCCCTTGGAGTCTTTTCCAAGTCTAGGATTCTAACTAGGGCTTTGGCTTAATCCAGCTTCAGTGCTCTCCATTTGCCATTTAGCTTGATGGTCCTGATATAACAGATCTTATCTTTGAAGGACCCAAATGATGGCACATTGCTCTGAGCTGTTTCCTTATCTACCCAAACGTCCAGAGAGCTTACACCCTACAATTTCCATCCTTGTGTTTTCCATCATGTGGGACACCCACAAGCCAGTGTGGTTGAGTTATCGCTGTGACCAAGTGCTTTTAAGCACTTCTCCAAAGGATGCCTTGCCATTCCAGAGCAAGCTGGAAGGAGACCATGAGGAGCACATCGGTGCTAGCTTTC